AAGAGAAGGGATCTTGCTCTGTCGCTCAGGCTGGAATGCAGTGGTGCAATCATGGCTCACTGCAGCCTTGACCTTCCTGGGCTCAAGTGATCCTCCAGCCTCAACCCCCAAGAGCTGGAACCACAGGCGCGCGCCTCCACACCCGAAAGCCCATTTTCTAGAGGCGGAAACCGAAGCGCCCATAGTTAAGGCGACCCGCCTGGGACGCAGGGTGCTCAACGCGCTGCCATCTGGGGCCCAACGCGTTGACCTCGCGGTCAGGTTCCTTCCGCGGACCACCGTTCTGGCTTGCTAGGTCTGGAATGGAGCACGGAGAGGGAATGGTGGCAACCCTGAAGGAGAGGACCCAGGAATCCGAGAAAGGAAGACTTGGGGTAGGTGGGGTTGGGTTTTGACTGGAGAGAAGAAAAAGTCAGGAGCGCAGGGCGGGTACCTGGGGAGCTGCGTGGACTCGAGCAGAAGGGAGGCAGGCGAGTGCTGGCAGTGGATGGGGCCGGAGGAGAAACTCGGGGAAGAGGTCGGGCCCCAACCAACGGGGGCGGGGACTGCGTCGTACTCCCGGACGCCCTCTTGTGGCCACAAGCTCGCAGGGTCTATAGTCGCTGCTAAACTATCGTTCTCACAGTGGCCTCAGTTTCCCCAAGCCTCTCGGTCCCACATGCCCCAAACGCAGTGCTGAGCACGGTCTCGAACTCCTCAGCTACCAGCCCCACAATGACATGGAGCGGTCTGAAGAGGAAAGTCCTTCTGGATAGCATCCTTGCTGCTCTCTTCCTGCTCCCCATCCCCCTCATCCCCCAGCCAGAACTGCCCAGGGCAAGTTGGCGGCCTGGCACGGAGTTGTGCGCCTGGCACGGAGTTGAAGCCCGACAGGTTTGAGTGAGGAGCTCCGCCAGTGTCCAGCCAAGTGGCCTTGGTCGTTTTCCCAACGCCTCCGAGCCTGTTTCCTGCCTGTAGAGCGGGTCAGATGTTGCCGACCTCTGCAGGGTACCAATAAGGAGTAAACTCCACGCTCTGCACAGCCTCCCTGTGCTGGGCCCGGTCGCCACGCAGAGCCTTGGGCCTGGGACAGGCCAGACGTTGGCAACGTATCGCCAACCAGGGCAGATGCCAAGAGTAGACCTGAAGGAGCCCAGAGGCCAGCCCAGGCTCTGACCGTGGGTGTGCGTCGGGGCGTGCGTCGGGGCGGGGTGGTGTGGGGTGGAGTGGGTAGAAGTCAGGAAAGTGGCTGGGCCAAGACCTGGAGCTGCTGCATAACAATATCTGGCATTTACACTACGAGGCCTCTGCTCCAGACACCGTTCTGAGGCTTGACCCGTCCCTAAGAACCTAGGACAACCCTGGGCGGTGGGTTTTATCCTTAACTCCATTATACAGGCCAGAGAACTGAGCGAGGGTGGAGACGTTCCGCTGGGAAGAAGCCACCTGGCTCCCCACCGGCCCTCAGGTCAAAAACAATTCCAAAAATCCGGGCGGGCGGTGGGCCAGAGAGAGTTGGGGCTCTGCCCCCAGCATCCACTCGGCGCAGGCGACTCGGCAACTGGGCGGAAGGCCGGCGGCGGCGGAGTGCGCAAGCGCGCCTCGATGGCCGCGCTCCCGAACGCCTAGAGCGGGAGCGGCCCGCGGAGCCGCGAAGGCAGCCATGGTCGGGGCGCTGTGCGGCTGCTGGTTCCGCCTGGGCGGGGCCCGCCCGCTCCTCCCGCTTGGCCCGGTGAGTGTCCCCGGGAGGGAGGCCGGCCGGTGGCCCGAGGGCGGGCCATCTTTACCCCGCCCCTTGCCCCGGCGCTCCGGGGCAGAGTCCCGCGGAAGAAGCGCGCGCTGGGGCCGCGAGTGTTCGTGTGCGCGCGTGTTGTGTGTGCGCGCGTGTTGTGTGCGCGCGCAGGGTCTGCGTGCGTTCTTGAGGGTCTGGGAGTATGTATGTGTACGCTCATGTGCTTGTGTGGTATCCGTCAGGGTGTGTTTCTGCGCGCTTATATTGGGACGTGTGTTGGTCGATGTCTGCCTGCTTGTGTCAGTGTGGGTCTTCTGAGAGTATTTCTGTGTGCGTGTGACTTTAAGGGTATGTGTCTACCTGTCTGCGTATGTGTGCATTTCTGGGGGTTGGTGAGTGTGTGTGTCTGCCTTCCTGTGCATGTGTCTTTCTTGTGTGAGAGTGTAGTCTTACGATTGTGCGTATGACAGTGCTTGACAGTGCTTGAGTGCTTGAGTATTTCTGTGGTTTTGAAAGTGTGCGTCTCCATCAGTCTGTCTGCCTTCCTGTTGCCTGACTGCTTAGGTGATTTCGAGGGATTGACTGCACACGGGCCAGTGTGTGTGCAAGGAAGCTGCATGTACAAGGAGGCTGCATGTACGTGCAGGGAATAGCTTGTACAAAAGAAAGCGTGTGGGGGCATGACTCGTCTTTGTGTGTGTGTGCACTTGGGTGTCATTCTCCACGCATATTCCAATGACCTAACGCGGGCACCGTTTACCCTGCCCCCGCATATCTCCAAAGGCAGCCGGCTGCAGGTCCGCCACAATTGCCTAGTATTGCTGGCAACCTGGGTTGCCAAGGCAACAACCTAAGCCCCGCCCTTACCTCCTTGGAGAAGCGCGGGGGCGCCCCGGGTGGACAGCAAGGAAAGGTCCCTCACGCTCGGCGGGAACCTGGGCTAACGCCCAGGTTGTTCACATCCGAGGTTGTAACACATCCGAGGTTGTTCGTGGTCTGGAAGAAAACAGGAACCCGCCCTTCCTCCACTAGGTCCTGGTTTTTCAGAAACACCAGAGAGGCTGCCAACCACAAACCCCCGACCCCGGAGCCTGGGGATGCGGGCTCGGGAAACATCCCCAAAACATCCCGGAGGGATGAGTAGGGCCCAAGACAGGCCCCTGGCTCCTAGCTCGGGCAGGCGCCCAATTGGCACTCAGTAAAGATGTGTTTGCTGGACTCCCCGAACGAAGCAAGCGTGCTTATCCTAGGCCCAAGAAATGACAGGAACAGCCCTCTTCCCGCCCACGGTATTATCTAAATCTCACAGGAAGCTTGGGAGGGTAACCATGAGGTTATCCCATTTTACCGACAAACTGAAGACACATGCCAGGAAGTGGCGGTCTCAAAGGCCTGCCCTATTTGAGTCCTGGGTCCTAAAGGCTGTCCTCTGGGGTGGCACAGACCCCAAACTGAAGGAGTCCATGAAGCAGGTCATTTGGCCGGAAGCTGGCTGTGTGTGGGGAGTGGCAGGCAGCATTCATCTCTCCAAACTCCACACCGCACTTTTCGTTTCTAGGTGTACCACACTCCTCCCTGGCCCTGCAGCCCCTCACTCCTCAGCATTTTCCTCTATCACAGACATTCTCTGTGAGCCTCTTCAAAACAGCTGGGGAAGACTGTTAGTTATAATGTGATTGTAAAGCACGTTCTGATTTTAGCAGTATTCAATGCAGTGAGATGAAAAGCACCATTTCTAAACATGCCCTCAAGTGGGAAGTCCCAACTCTACAGGTTCCTCCTTGGCAATCCGAGTGTGGCCTGGTAGTTAGAAGGCCAGTCTTAGGTTCAAACCCCAATTCCCCCACTTGCTACCTGGCACTTTGGGCAAGAGAATGTACCTATCTGAGCCTCTATCTCCTCGCCTGTAAGAGATCTATAATTACATCTGCTCCCCAGCATTCTTGGTGGAAAAGAACCTTGTATGTCAAGGGCCATACTCAGGGCTTGCTGTCATAAGCACTCGATGAACCATAGTGGTTTCAACTGATGCCGTGATGGTGGCAGTCACGGAGCATGCTGTGTGCCATGGGACAGCTCAGATGCACTTCCTCATACTGTGAAGTATCTGAGCCTTTGCCCTGGCATGTGGAGTAGTTGGGTGTGAAACCCCAGACCTTTTCCCAGAGCAAGGGAAAGGGCAAGGGCTAGAGCTGGGGACTCTGGGTGGGGTTTTGGGATGGGGTCCAGGGGCCTTTGTAGGGGTGCAGTCCCAGCCTCTTTTCCCTCTCCTCTACTCCTCCAGACTGTGGTACAGACCTCCGTGAGCCGGTCCCAGGTAGCCCTGCTGGGCCTGGGTCTGCTGCTCATGCTTCTACTGTATGTGGGGCTGCCGGGCCCCCTCAAGCAGACTTCTTGGCTCTGGGGAGACCCCAATGTCACAGTCCTGGCTGGTCTCACCCCTGGCAACTCCCCCATCTTTTACCGTGAGGTGCTCCCACTCAACCGGGCACGCAGGTAGGTGCTGTCCCAAGGGTCTAGTGGATGGACTAGGCCCAAGGGGAGTCCCTGTGTCAGACCCCCATTATACTCAGGGTGCTCAGGGCCTGGGAGGGCAATGGGAGAAGGCTAGGAAGAAGAAAGGCAGGCTCCACCAGGTCCTCAGCACACACATTCCCCTGTGTGCCTGCAGGGTGCAGGTGGTGCTGCTTCATGGAAAGGCCTTTAACTCGAACACGTGGGAGCAGCTGGGCACACTGCAGCTGCTGTCGCAGAGGGGCTACCGGGCCGTGGCCCTTGACCTTCCAGGTGAGCACCCCCACCCCTTCATCTAAGGAAGATCTAAGCCCTAAGACCCAGTGTCTGGACAAGCAGTGGCAGGTCACAGCATAAGGTGGCACTATGAAAAAGTCTGTGTTTTTATTTTCTACCACGAAAACTACAGTGTGAATTGTAGGTCACAGAGAAAATAGAAATGTGACTCACTTCACAAGCAGTGTACTCTCTTCTTTTTTTCTTTTTTTTTTTTTTTTTTTTTGGAGACAAATCTCCCTCTGTTGCCCAGGCTGGAGTCCAATGGCATGATCTCACTGCAACCTCCACCTCCCAGGTTCAAGTGATTCTCCTGCCTCAGCTTCCAAGTAGCTGGGATTACAGGTGCCTGCCACCATGCCTAGCTAATTTTTGTATTTTTAGTAGAGAAGGAGTTTCACCATGCTGGCCAAGCTGGTCTCAAAATCCTGACCTCAGACGATCCACTCACCTCGGCCTCCCAAAGTGCTGGGATTACAGGTGTGAACCACTGCACCCAGCCAAGCAGTATACTTTCCATGACAAACTATAAAGCTTTTTGTGTTTTTAAGTACACAAATGATTTATGCTGCCATTCTTGTCATTAGAAAAAGCAAAAAATGTCATCGAGTCATAGAGGATGAAAAAAATCGAAAAACTAGCAAAGTTTTCAGAGACCAATGCCACATTTCTCTCCCTCTCTAAGAAGTTTAGGGGATGCTGCACCCTCTTCTGGGTATTCCCACTCAATATGGAGGCTTGTCTGGTGGGGGCTGTAAACATGATTGGTGTCCTGCCTGCTTAGCGCATCCATCTGCAGCTTGGTTTTCTCCCCCTATACCATGTCTTGAGGATCCTGCATGTCCCTGCAAACCTCCCTCTCTAGTGTTAACCCTGCAGTGTGTGCCATAGGAAGGATGGATGGGCTTTATCCAGCCATTCCTCTACTGGCAGAATGCTCAAGCAATGCAGCTGAAGCGTCCTTGGACATGCTTCTTTGAGCATGTAAGCAGTAATTTCTTTAGGGTAGCTACTGAAGACAATTGATGGCCCAAAGAAGCACATTTTTAAATTTAGATAACTACTGCCTACCCTCTAAAAAGGCTGTATGGATTTATCCTGCCGTCTGTCATGTATGAAAGTGCCCATTTCCCCATGTCTTCCACAACACTGGGTATTATTTCAGTCTTTTTCACTTTGCTAATATTATGATGAATGAAAAATGTGCTTTTCTTTTTCCTTTTTTTTTTTTGTTGAGACAGAGTCTCGCTCTGTCGCCCAGGCTGCAGTGCAGTGGCGTGATCTCGGCTCACTACAACCTCCGCCTCCTGGGTTCCAGTGATCTTCCTATCTCAGCCTCCCAAGTAGCTGAGATTACAGGCGCACACCACCACACCCCACTAATTTTTGTATTTTTTAGTAGAGACGGGGTTTCTCCATGTTGGCCAGGCTGGTCTCAAAACTCCTGATCTCAGGTGATCTGCCCACCTCAGCCTCCCAAAGTGCTGGGATTACAGGCATGAGCAACCTCGCCAGGCCAAGATATGCTTCTCTTTTCTTTTTCTTTTCTTTTTTTTTTTTTTTTGTTTTTACTGAGACAGAGTCTCACTCTTGTCGTCCAGGCTGGCGCACATTGGCGCCATCTGGGCTCACTGCAACCTCCGCCTCCTGGGTTCAAGCAATTCTCCTGTCTCAGCCTCCTGAGTAGCTGGGATTACAAGCGTGCACTACCACGCCTGGCTGACTTTTGTATTTTTAGTGGAGATGGGGTTTCACCATGTTGGCCAGGCTGGTCTCAAGCTCCTGATCTCAGGTGATCCACCCACCTCGGCCTCCCAAAGTGCTGGGATTACAGGCGTGAGCCACTGCACCTGGCATCCAAGATATGCTTTTCTAACAGGGGTATCACATTACCAAAAAATAGCTTCTGGGCAGTTTTAGGTAGTGTGTGCCAGTGCCACTGGTCCCCAACTTTTTCCCCCACTGTGGTGGGTAGGAGGTCCTGCACCCCTTCCCAGTGCCCCTCAGCTGGTACCTGCTGCTGTTCCTAGGTTTTGGGAACTCAGCACCTTCGAAGGAGGCAAGCACAGAGGCAGGTCGGGCAGAGCTGCTGGCACAAGCACTGCGGGACCTGGAGGTACAGAATGCCGTGTTGGTGAGCCCCTCGCTGAGTGGCCGCTATGCCCTGCCCTTCCTGATGCGAGGCCACCACCAGCTACATGGATTCGTGCCCATCGCACCCACCTCCACCCAGAACTACACCCAGGAGCAATTCTGGGCTGTGAAGGTACTAGGAGAAGGATCTCAAAGGTCCTGGCGCCCTGTCCCTGGCTTGCGGGGGTTCAGGACTCAAGTCTTACTTGGAGGGACATGGCCTTATCCCTGATCTTGGATGAAAGAATTGGGGTGTTTGGGGAAGGCTTCCTAGGAAGTGGCTTGGGGGTCAGATACTCATCAGGCCCCAGGGTCACAGCCCCCTGCCTTGCCCTGCAGACTCCAACCCTTATCCTGTATGGAGAGCTGGACTACATCCTGGCTCGAGAGTCACTGCGGCAGCTCCGCCACCTGCCCAACCACTCTGTGGTGAAGCTACGCAATGCAGGCCATGCCTGTTACCTCCATAAGCCGCAAGACTTCCACGTTGCCCTGCTTGCCTTTCTTGACCATCTGCCTTGAGTTAACCCACTCCCTGGTCCCAGCCTGGCCTGAATTTGGACAGTCTGGACTGCCGCCCTCGCCCAACCAGGGAGACAGCCCCTGGGATTGGAGGCCAGAGGCCAGAGGGTCAGACCCAGCCAGGACTTCTCATTTCATCTCACAGACATAATAAAAGAGCATATTTGTCCTGCCTGGGAAGTGACAGGTTCCATTTCCTGGTGTGCTGCGGTAGAGATGTGAGTGGGAGGCAAGTCTGGGACTACTTTGGGCCTGGGAGCTGGAGGGGATGCTCCAGCAGCCCGGGAAGGCTAAGAGTGCATCACTTCCTAAGTGCCTGGCCTCACCACTCCGTGCTTCAGTTTCGTCATCTGTAAAACGGGTATGATGGCAACTCCTAGGTTGGAGGGTGGCTGTAGGACTGAATGAGTCTGGATAACTGAGTACTTGGCCATATAAGGGTAAGGGTGGGGGATTGCTGTGGGAGGCAGGGTGTATTACAGTGCTGCATGACCACTGGGATTGGTGAGAAATCCAGGGTTTGGACAACAAGCTGAGGGAGTCAGAACCTAGAGGGTGTGGGGAATGCGATTTAAGAATTAGCATTGGCTTGGTGCAGTGGCTTACATCTGTAATCCCAGCACCTTAAGAGGCCAAGGCAGGTGGATCACCTGAGGTCAGGAGTTCAAGACCAGCCTGGCCAACAAGACGAAACCCCATTTCTACTAAAAATACAAAAATTAGCTGGGTGTGGTGGCGCACACCTGTATTTCCAGCTACTCAGGAGGCTGAGGCAGGAGGATTGCTTGAACCTGGTAGGCAGAGGTTGCAGTGAGCCGAGATCACACCATTGTATTCCTGGGCAACAAGAGTGAAACAATGTCCATATATATATATATATATATATACACATACACAAAAGATAGCCAGTGTGGTGGCAGGCACCTGTAATCCCAGCTACTCGGGAGACTGAGGCAGGAGAATCATTTGAACCCAGGAGGTGGAGTTTGCAGTAAGCCAAGAACGAGCCACTGCACTCCAGCCTGAGCAACAGAGTGAGACGCCGTACTAAAAAAACAAATAGCTAAAATACTTAGCCAGCATTGTTATGAGTTAAAGTCTATTTGCCCGCATGAATAGCTAAATAATTAGCCAGCATTGTTATGAGTTAAAGTCTATTTGCCACATGACAGAGTGAGACTCTGTATGAAAAAAATCCCTAAATAAAGAATTAGCCAGCATTGTTCTGAGTTAAAATCCACTTTCCCCCATGTTATGTGTGAACAGCCAAGCCTTAACTCTCAGGAAAACTGGGACAGACTCCCTCCCCACAGCCTGCCTCCTTGGCCTAGAGATTGAAGTCTTTGTCTCTCACCCTTCCCCAAGCTGACTCAGCCCCTGGAGCAGAGGGCAGGCCTGGCTGGGAGTACAAAGGGCAGCTCGTGCATAAGTGGGCAACTGCAGCTGTGGCCTGCAGGGGACCGGTGGGACACCTGTGCCTGTTTAGCCTCCCTCTCCCGTGGCTGCAGAAGGGCCAGAGAGTTTCCTCACTGTCATCCAGGGTCGCAATTACATCCACTCACAGTGACATCATCACACCCAGCCACCATCTCGCACTGTCACACACACAATCATACCCACTGGTAGACTGCACATGCAGTGGCACGCTCACACCATCACACGTGTTCCTGTCCATGCATTTATCCTCATTCCTGGCACGGTGTCCAGGCTCGGCCGGCCAGGGGCAAACCTTGCAGGAAGCGGAGCTCACAGCGTGGGGTGGACAGACATTGGCCAGTAACCAGTACAATCGGAGCTAAGGCATCAGGGAGGAGCTCCCCGAGAGGCTGAGGCAAGCAAAGGGGACTTGTTGGAGACTTGCCGAGTAGGGCAGGGGGCAGGCTGAAGGCTTTGCAGCTCTGCATCGGAGAGCCTTGGGGCGGCCTCCTCTCCTCCCGCCCTATCCGGAGGCTGAAGGAAGAGGTACAGTCAGGGGGCTGGACCGTCCTAAGCTCCTGGCGCAGGCCCCGGGCAGGAGTGTTAGGCGTGTCCTGGGCCCTCACTGGCTGTCTTCGGTCTCCGCCCCGAGATCAGGGCCCAGCCACGTGGTGGGGCGGACCGGGGCGGTCCTGAGCCTTCGACCTCACAGGACCCTGAGTCCAGTTCACAGTCTGGAGCTGTTGCTGAGGGACTAGCGTGAGTCAAGCGACAGGAGAGTGAGGTGGGGGGCCCTGGGGAGGGGTGGAGGGACTGGGACTCCGTGGCTTGAAAGCCGGGCAATTGAGAAGTGTTTTGGGTTTTTTGTTGTTGTTTATTTTTTAGGAGGGCGCGGGGAGGACAAGTCTGGGTTCAAACCTGGCTCAGCTACTCTCTGAGCTGTCCTTGAACCTCTCTGAGCCTCTCAGCTTTCTCCTCTGTAAGGTGGGCATTCTGAGTACAAACTTCATGAGACTCTTTTGGGCATTAAATAAGGAAATATGCTGGAAGCGGACAGCCCAGTGCCTGAAACAGAATGGGTGCTCCTTAACAGGGGCTCCGAGACACGGTATCCTCCCTCTGTGGGAGATCCGGGAGCTGCCGTGGGATGGGCTGTGTGCAGGAGTGCACCGGGTCCAGGGGCTGGGAGGGGTAGTTAGCCATTCTTTGCCCCCAGCTCGCCACGCAGAGCGCCATGACCAGCAAGAATCCCGAGGAGGAGCATCCCTCCGTGACGCTCTTCCGCCAGTACCTGCGCATCCGCACCGTCCAGCCCAAGCCTGACTATGGTGAGAAGTTCCAGAGCCTGTGATGGGGCCTAAGGGATGGGGACTGTGCTCTAAACCAGCCTCCAACCCCTGTCACCCAGCTGAGCCCCACTCCGCTGCCCCAAACAGCTCCCCACCCCCTCCAGCCATTCCCCAAGTCAGTGGACTGAGGCAGCCTCTCCAGGTTATACAGGAACTCTTTCCCCAGAGGCTCTGCTGCTGTAAAGGTTACTCCTGGCAGCTGCTTAAGGAAGAAGTTCACCTTACTCCCCAGGGCGGGAGGGGTGGGGGAAGCCTGGGGCAGCCACAGGGGAAGGAGAGGCCCTCCAGAAGCCTACTGGGGCTGGACAAAGGCTGCAGCCTTTAGGGAATCAAGCTTGGTAGCTAGGGCCTGGGAGGTGGCTCCTGCCTGTTATCCCAGCACTTCAGGAGGTTGAGGCTGGCGGATTGCTTGGGCCCAGGAGTTCGAGACTGGCCTGGGCAACATGGCAAGACTCTGTCTCTACAGAAAAATACAAAAATTAGTCAAGAATGGTGGCCCACCTATAGCCTCAGCTTCGTGGGAGGTTGAGGTGGGATGATCGCTTGGACCTGGGAGTTGAGGTGGGATGATCGCTTGGACCTGGGAGTTGAGGTGGGATGATCGCTTGGACCTGGGAGTTGAGGTGGGATGATCGCTTGGACCTGGGAGAGGTTGAGGTGGGATGATCGCTTGGACCTGGGAGAGGTTGAGGTGGGATGATCGCTT